ATGGAAGGGTAACTGATGTGATACAGCAATCTGTATACGGGATAAAATTGGGAGTTCATAACTCATTTGAATCAAACTGTGAAATATGATGTATGAGGAACTATGTAATGTTTTGAACGACCAACAATAAAAAAAAAAAAAGAATCTATATTAAAAAAAAAAAAAAAGATCTTTAAAACAATTAGAATGTCTCTCATGCCACAAAACTAACATTTATTGTATAAAGGGGTAATCAGAGAGCAATGCCAGCAGGAGGATGACAGTGACCTGAAAGGCAAGGTGCTGTAGCTCTTCTCCCGTTGCAGAGAGCATCGCTGGGTAGCTGCACCTAGCAACTGTTAGGAAGTATGCTTAAGAATTTGGTGATCAAGCATTTGGGTCTCCATATTTTAAAACCTTTGTAGTCTGAGTTAATTTAACCGGGTATTTTTCTGTGTTTCAAATGAGGTGAACAATGAAGCCTGGGTTTGACAGAATGTTTCTGATTTCTCAATTCTTACTGGTAAATCAAAGACAACAAAGTTAGATGAATTCAAGGATTCCTTCTTGCCCTACAATACATTTCAGAGAGAGTCATCTTTAATCTGTATCCTAAAACTAGAACAGAGTTAAGTTTAAGCCTGCCTTTTTGATTTCCAATTCATTCTACTTCAGAAACCAAAAATCTCACAGGATAGCATATACATATCGGTGAGGTCTTCAAAAATTCTTTGAACCATTTTTCACTTGAAAAAATTAATTTTTTACCGCTCAAGCGGTAGTGCGCTCGCCTGGCATGCATGCAGCCCGGGTTCGATCCTCAGCACCACATACAAAGATGTTGTGTCTGCCGAGAACTAAAACATTAAAATTCTCTCTCTCTCTCTCTCTCAAAAAAAAAAAAACACATTTGGGGAGAAGCACAGCACCTCCAATATTAGATTTAAGGACAGTTACAGGCAAGAACTGCAGCCGCCTGCTTCTGGAAGACTCTTAACCAAGAAAGGTGAGCATGCCATAAGAAAAGGCACAGCACTCACCAAAGTGAGGCACTGAAGGAAGGAACCACATATAAACCAAATGCTGCCTAACCACAAGGGTACAAGATGTTGCAATTGGCCCTTATATTAGACAAAGATCTACAATTTTTTCTTTGCTTTTACCCCAAATCAAAGTCATGGGAAATTTCTTGTAAAACCACTCTGCATGGTTTTCATTAAAAAATTCAGTGTCCAAGCAAACTAATAACAAAATATTCCATCCTACAAAGTCAAACCCCTCTTAAAAACATCAATGAAAAGTCTACCGGAATCCTTGTTCCTTTATGGCAAAGGCCGGTGTTTCCAAGGGGAATATTTCAGACTGTACGAAGAGTTCCCGCACTCTCCGGTCTATGACTTTCCCATACTGAGCACCGGCGTCCAAGATGACAACAGCTCCTTCGTAGTGGTGGCAGCCATCCTTGAGGTCTCCTCCAGCATTCTCCAGCTGCAAACATTGACACAAACATCTGAATTATGAAAATCACAGCTACTTAAAATCACAGCTACTTAAAAAAGGGGGTGGGTGGGATGGTCACTATCAGCTCCAAAAACACACAGAACTGTTATCTTAGGACAATGAATTGCCAATTTAATTTTTCTTTTCTTTTTTTTTTCCTTTTTTTTTTTTTTTGAGGACAAGATACTTTATTTATTTTATGCAGTGCTGAGGATCAAACCCAGCGACTCACACATGCTAGACCAGCGCTCTGCCATCAAGCTACAACCCCAGCCCATCTTTTAAAGGGAAGATTTGAATATTGCCAATATTTGTTATTGGCATCCAAACCAGATATGAAGACCAATGGAACATAAGACACAGAGACAAACCCATGTAGTTATAGTCATCTGATACTCAACATAAGTATCAGATGCCAAAAACATGTTGGAGAATAGACAGCCTTTTTAACAAATGGTGCTAGAAAAACTGAATATCCATATTTAGAAGAATGAAAATAAATCCATATCTCTCACCCTACAGAAAATTCAACTCAAAGTTATCAAAGACCTAGGAATTAGACCAGAAACTGCAACTTTCTGAATAAAACATAGGGTCAACACTCCAATACATTGGCACAAGCACTGATTTCCTTAGCAAGACATTTAAAGCTCAAGAAATAAAATCAAGAATCAATAAGTGGGACAACATCAAATTTATTTTATTTTTATTTTTTTAAAGAGAGAGTGAGAGAATTTTTTTTTTTAATATTTATTTTCTAGTTCTCGGCGGACACAACATCTTTGTTGGTATGTGGTGCTGAGGATCGAACCCAGGCCGCACGCATGCCAGGCGAGCACGCTACCACTTGAGCCACAGCCCCAGCCCCCACAACATCAAATTTAAAATGTTCTGCACAGCAAAGGAAAGAGCATGAAGAGAAAATCTAAAGAAGAGAAAAATCTTTGCCAGCTACTCCTCTGAGAGGGAATTAATATCCACCATATATACAGAACCCAAACTTTTAACACCAGAAACAAATAGCCCAATCAATAAATGGACAAAATAACTAAACAGATATTTCTCAAAAGAAGAAATACAATGGCCAACAAATATATGCAAAAAATGTTCAACAACTCTAACAACCAGGTAAATACAAATCCAAATTGCATGGAAATTTCATCTCACTCCAGTTAGAATGGCAATTATCAGAATACAAATAATAATAAATGGTGGCAAGGACATGGGGGAAAAGGTACACTTATATAGTGCTGGTGAACTACAAATTAGTACGACAACTCTGGAAAGCAATATGGAAATGCTACAAAGGACTAAGAATGGAGCCAGGCACAATGGCGCACTCCTATAATCCCAGAGGCTCAGGAGGCTGAGGCAGGAAGATCACAAGTTCAAAGCCAGCCTCAGCACCACTGTGTTCAATCCCTGGTTCAAAAACAAAAGCTAGGAGCAGTGGCTCCAGAGGCTGAGGCAGGAGGATGGCGAGTTCAAAGTCAGTTTCAGCAATAGTGAGGCGATAAGCAACTCAGTGAGACCTAAATAAAATACAAAACAGGGCATGGGATGTGGCTCAGTGGTTAAGTGCCCCTGAGTTCAAATCCCTGATACCAAGAAAAAGAAAACAAAAGACTTAAGAATGGAATCATGGTAGTGTGACCCAACTATCCTATTTATCCTATTATCCTATCCAAAAGAACTAAAATTGCCATACTATGGTGATACAGGAACATCAATTTTTGTTTGTTTCAGTACCAGGGACACTTAACCACTAAGCCATATACCCAGCCCTTTCTATGTTTTATTTTAAGACAGTGTCTCACTAAATTGCTGAAGTTGGCCTCAACTTGTAATCTTCCTAACTCATCCTACCTAGTCTCTGGGATTACAGTTGTGCACCACCATACCTGCACAGAACATCAATTTTTATAGCAGCACAATTCACAATAGCTGAATTATGGCTTCAACCCAGATGCCCATCAATAGATGAAAGAATTAAGAAACTGTGAAACTGTGGTATAAATACACAATAAAGTTTTAGTCCATCATAAAGAATGAAATCACGGCATTTGCCAGTAAATGAATGGAAATAGAGAATACTATGCTAAGTGAAATAAGCCAGACTGGAAAAAAATCAAGGGTCATATGTTTTCTGGTCACAAGGGGAAGCTAGAGCAAAATAAGGGTGGGGAGGGTTGGCATGTAGCTCAGTGGTAAAGCGCCCCTGGAAGGAAGGAGAAAGGAAGGAAGGAAGGAAGGAAGGAAGGAAGGAAGGAAGGAAGGAAGGAAGGAAGGAAGGAGAGAAAAGCAAATATTAACTTGCTTGTACAAAATAATAAATAAATCTCAGAACAAAAAAAGTTCCAATATTATTAATAAGATCAAAACAATGATGTATCTGCCAGTATTTCTGTTCATTTAAAATTTCCTAAATTAAGGGCTGCTCATCTAAAATTTGTTCAAAACAGGATGTCAGAAACCTTAAGTCCTAGCTGGGCATGGTGACCACAGACTCAGGAGGCTGAGGCAGGAGGATCAGGAGTTCAAAGCCAGTCTCAGCAAAAGCAAGGCACTAAGCAACTCAATGACACTCTGTCTCTAAACAACATACAAAACAGAGCTGGGGATATAGCTCAGTGGTTGAGTGTCCCTGAGTTCAATCCCCAGTGGCAAAAAGAAAAAAAAAAAAAGAAAAGAAAGAAAGAAAGAAACCTTAAGTCCTAGATTCAGTTCTAATGAGACTAAAAAGACTAATCTAAGTCCTAGATTCAGTTCATAATGAGACTAATCCTGAGATTAGTTCTCCACATTTCAGATGAGGTGAAGATGATTTAAATTACATGGCACACTGTGAGGTTTTATTTATTTTTTTAAAGTTGTAGTTGGACACAGTACTTTTATTTATTTATTTTTATGTGGTGCTGAGGATCGAACCCAGGGCCTCACGCTTGCCAGGCAAGTGCTCTACCAGGGAGCTACAACTCTAGCCCCAAAATGTTTAATATCTTTAGCAATAAGGGAAATGTAAATCAAACCTACACTGAGATTTCATCTCACTTCAGTCTGAATGGCAAAAATCCAGAATACAAATAATAACTGCAGGTAAAGATGAGAGGGGAAAGGCACACTTAGTCACTGCTGGTGGACCCTGAATTAGTACAACCACTATGGAAATCAGTACGCGGTTCCTCAAAAGACTAGAAATGAAACCACCAGATGACCCAGCCCTGCCACTCCTCAGTATTTATCACAAAAAATGTAAAGTAAGCAGAGTGCAGTGGCACACACCTCCAATTCTATACTCAGGAGGCTGAGACAGGAAGATTCCAAATTTGAGGCCAGCCTAGGCAATTTAGAAAGACTGTCTCTCAAAATAAAATGAAAAGAGCTGAGGATGTAACTGGGTAAGTGCCTCTGGGTACAATCCCCCATATCAAAAAAAGGAAAAAAAATCCATTTATTAAAAAAAAAAGAATTTTAAAATCAGCATAATTTTAAAATCAGCATACTATGTTTAATGCAGCATGATCCACAATAGCCAAGTCATGGAACCAGCCTAGATGACTGTCCACAGATGAATGAACAAAGGAAATGAAGTATATGCACACAATGAAGTTTTATTCAGTCAAAAAATAATGAAATGTGGCATTTGCAGGAAAGTGGACAGAACTTGAGAGCATTGTGTTAAGCAAAATAGGCCAAACTCAGAAAGTTAAGAATTGTATGTTTTCTCTCAAATGTAGAAGCTAGAGAAAAAAATGCATGAAAGGCGGGGAGAATCTCATGAAAACAGAAGGGAGGCCCATAGAGGAATAGGACTGGAGAGGTGTGAGGAAACGGCAAGGGGAGGCAGCTCGGCATAAACCAATCAAATATGTGTGTATGAATATGTCACAACTATCCCACTATCATGTTTAATTATAACACACCAATAAAACTGATTTTAAAAAACAAGTAATTTATGACCTCAATTTTCAAGAATTTTATAATAGCCTTGTTATTAGCACAATTATTAATTCAAAAAATAATCCTAACATATATACATTAGGTTTGAACTTTAGCCAAATTGTAAATACACTTCACTAGAAACCAGAGCCAGACTCAGAACAGCAAGTGGTCCACAGTGAAGTGACTACGCAGACCAAATCACCCAGGACTGTCCAGTGTATCTCACAACTTAACATTTGTCTGAGATCTTCCATTTTTTAAAACATATTATCATGTAAGATTGCATTAAGGCAGGATGAGAGGAGCTTGCTGGACTTTCACTATACATTTCCACCTCCTGCCAATGCCTCAGCCCTCTTTAACTTCTGGTTCAGTCTGAGAGCCAGACAGACAACACAGCTCTTTCTGTATACAATACAGCACACTTGGACACTGGCATTACACTAGGGGTAGCTAGCTACCTGGTCTCAGGTGAGAATGGACACATGAGAATTTGCAGTGCCCACGAGACAGTGGGTCCACCTGCCAGTTGTGGCAGAGCCATTCCACAGCGTGCAGATGCACAAACCCTCTAGGCCATCATATTCTGGGTGGAGTGGAAAAGGTCAGATTTTGAGAAATACAGATAGGAAAGATGCTGAAGGCTCCTTTGCATTGTACAGAAGAGAGTAAACAAAGCACTCTTGCAACAGGTGTTTTGCCATTTACTGAATTGCCTAAAGCCACAATTATTTATTTTGTTTGATAATATTTTATTTTGCGGCGATATTTATCAATTATTTCCACACTTCTTTTTATGCTTGTGTCTCCATTTAGGCACTGAGAGTATATAGTCATGCTGCTACAACCACTTTCTTCCTAGCACATTATTTTACTGAATAATCTTGAGTATAAAGACTTAACAACAAAAAAGTATCACCTGGATCCTCAAAACATAAACCTGAAGCCATGGCAAGGGTCCAACAAGAAAAACAACTGTTAAGGTATTACTATAGCAAAGCTATATTTATTAAATCACTGTGATTTTGAATACAAAAAAGTCTTTATTCCACAACAAGCACAAAAAAATAAAATTCTACCTAACCTGTCGTTAAATATATGCAAAATTTAAAACTCTATGAAAAAATTCCTTTCTTGATTCAGAATTATGTATTAACCCTGAGGGCTTCACTCATTTTAAGCATCTATATAGAGTTTAGATAGAGGCAAAAAAAAAACAAAATTTAAGTACCATAAGAGTTTATTTTGCACAACAAATAATCATTCCTTACTTCAAATAGTATCCTCCAGATTATACTTCAGTTTATCTTCAAAATAAGTATAGGACAAGTATATATTTAAAAAACATACCAGGAGCTGTGGCAGATGCCTGTAATCACAGGTTGAGGAAGGAGGATGGCAAGTTCAAAACCAACCTCAGCAAAAGCGAGGCACTAAGCAACTCAGGAAGACCCTGTCTCTAAATTAAACATACAAAAGAGGGCTGGGGATGTGGCTCAGGGGTCTTCGATCCCCAGTACCCCACCAAAAAAATAAAAAGAGCTAGGGATGTAACACAGTGGCAAAGTGTCTAAATTCAATCCCTTATACCAAAAATAAATAAATAAAAATAAAATAAAACCCCAAAATTCTATAATTTTATAAAAATAAAACCTAAAATTCTTGGGTTGGGGATGTAGCTCATTGGAAAGGAACATGACTACCACATACAAAGCCCTTCTTGTTCAATCCCAGCACTACACACACACAAATTTTCTTAAAAAGACAATTATTTTTCCTAAGTGACAAGTTGGCCTACTCTAAAGGTAATGTCATCTGAGGTTCCTGGAAAACTTTCAAAATCTTTCAAATCTAAGAACATACTACAATAAAAAAAAAAACATTCTTTTTGCAATATACTTACGGAACAAAACAAGAAGGTAAAAAACTCCATCTTTGAACTTTGAAATTTTTTTCACATAACACATTATTATAAAAGGTGATAACTGGGCTGTTATGGCTCAGTGGCAGAGCACTTGCCATGCACTTGTGAGGCACTGGGTTCAATTCTCAGCACCACATAAAAATAAACAAACAAAATAAAAATTTTTTAAAGGTGATAATTGTTTGATTCCCAATACATCCCAGATAAAAAATCCAGGTTATAGCTCCATTAAACTTAAAACCTTAGTTTTGAAAGTTTCAACTTTAAAGTTAACATTATTAGGGCTGGGGATATAGCTCAGCGGTAGTAGAGTGTTTGCCTAGCATGCATAAGATCCTGGGTTCAATCTCCAGCAAAGAAGAAACAATAAAAATTCACACTGTTAGATAACATTCAAGAGTCTATATTACCCAACCAATAGATAATACCTTTAATCCAAGCCTCATACACACAGTCATAACATCTCAGGGAAGGTACCACCCTACTCCAATCAAGAGCCTTCAGCTTAGACAAGGGGACAAACAGCAGGAAACTATAGACAAGTCATACAAACAAGCCCACTGATAATGCTGTCTTCTTTATATACAACCTTGCCTTAGTGAGAAAAAGTACTTCGAGAAACACTCTCTATGCTTTTGTTTATATGAAATGAGATCTTTAATTTAATAACATTACATCAGTTCCTTAACTATAAACAAGCTAGTCTGCCTTGAGGTTAACCAAGTAGCCTGGAAGAGAAAAGAAAAATAAGCTAGATTCTAATCCCAGCTATGACATACAGGTCCTTCCTTCCCAGCTCTAAAATGCTATGTACAAAACCAAAGAAAATATCCGAATTATTTTACAGCATTTAGGTCACTCCCTAGTCTGTACTGTACAAAAATGCCATTTTAGAAAACTCTGATAAATGTACCAGAAATAGAAATCAAATCCGGCCCTTTCCCAATTTTTAATTTATAAACTAGGATGTGCATATAATGTACAGAAGCATAATTAATGTCCCTTTTTTAAGCCAGAATTAAGTTCCTCAGTATTTTACTGGTATTTTAGTCTCATGGGACAGTGGTTCAGTGGTAGGCTCTGGAAAAGTGACTCCTACTCAGACTTCCAGGTGGGTCTCTTAGAAAATCTTACTTCAATTATTTACTGTGCATATTTCCCTATATTTAACATATCTTTACTTTAAATACTTAAAATCAGGCATCAGGGATTCTCCCTCGCCCTTAGTACATAAAAATTACAGATTTGATTAAATGTGTTAATTCCCCAATTACTCCTCTTGAAAGTGCTTCCAACTTGATCCACATCCAATTTTCAAAATACTTTTGTGAAATGGTTCATTACATTATAAAGATATCGAGAGCCTTGAAATAAAACTTAGTTCACCTTGGGCTCAAACCTATCAAACTGATCAAGATTCTCTTTAAAATTCCCGGTCAAGTCAAAACAAAAGGAGGGGGCCTATCTTAACGTCAGTCTTCCTCTTCTGGAACGCACTAGGTAATTTTCAAAGCATGAAAATTAGGTCTGAGTCCTTCTAATGCTAACAGTTGATTCATCTGTGAGCCTAAAGATGGATCTTTCCGCGAGTTGTAAAGATCAAAATTAGGGCAAGTGGAGAGAGCTGCACTCGGGTTCACATCAGCTTCTGAGGTATGAAACTAAAGGGTTGAGCGTCTCGTCTGGCTTTAGGATCGGAGGAAGCGCTCCAGCCAGCCTGCGCATCACCAGTACCTCATGACCGGTCTCGTCCGTTCAGCAAACAGGTCGTGATCAGGTACCGAGCGCCCGTCCTCCCACAGCGGCCCCACCAGGACCTGCAACCAGGACTGGACACCGCAGCCCGCTCGGCCAGGTCACCTCCATCCAAGCCAGCCTTCCACGCACCCCAGCGACCTTGACCCACGTGCTTCCGAAAGCCTGGCCACAATCGTGCACCAAGCACACCTTGCCCCGGGAAGGCGCACCTCGCACCCGGGCCAAACGCCTCGAGGCGGGGCTGGGCCGACTCCGGGCCACTGAGCCCCACGCCGCGCGAGAGGTGGCGGCAGGCTCGCAGCGGGCAGGAGGCCGGTGCCCGAGCAGGGCGCGCGGACGGGGCGGCCCCGGCTCACCTGCCAGCGCGCGGGCCGCGGGGAGGGGCGCAGCGGCCGAGGGCGGCAGGCGGCGCGTGGCGGAGGAGGCCGGCCAGAGGCGGCGACCCCGCCAGGCTCGGGCTCCGAGGGCCTCCGAGGGCCCCCGCCGGCCCTGCGCCCCCGCCGGCGGGAGCTCGCCCGCCCCGACTCGCAGGCGGAACCAACAAAGCGCCGCCGCTCCCGGAGCAGGCTCGCGGCGGGTGGGACGGGGGGCTGCCCTGAGCCAGGCCCGGCGCGGGAGGTGAGAGGCCGCCAAGGCTCGGGGTCGGGCCCCGCGCCGCAGCGGGCGGGAAGCGATGAGCGCGCCCGAGGCTGACCTTGGAGTCTCCGTTGCACAGAGCCATCGGGGCCGCAGTGGCAGGCGCACGAGACACGCTGTGAGCTGCCGGAGGAGCGGACGCCGCGGAACGAGGCCGAGCGCAAGGCCTGGAGGCGGAGAGCGTCGGGCCTGATCCGCGCGCGAGCCCAGCGCCACGGGAGAGCAGCGCCGCCGCGCGCCGCGCTCGCTTCCGCCCAAGCACGGGGAGGAGCCGGGGAGTGGTACCCGCCCCTGAGTGGGCGGAGCCACCTCCGAGGACCGCCCCCGCGGCCACAAAGAAGCGGTCCCCACACCGTCCTGGGGAAGAGTTCGCAGGGCCTCACGTCCCTCGCCTCCGCTTGGAGGAGGATCCCTCTCGCCTGCGCCTGGGCCCCTCCAGCCGCAAGGCCCGGGAGCTGCCCTGCAGCGCTCAGAGCCCCGCGCAGGCAGAGTGGCGGGCCCGGGAGGGCACGCCTCTGCAGAGCTGCACTGGGGGCCCTCGGCGGCTGCCGGATACCGGAGGGGCCCTGGCCGCGTCCTGCTTCGAAAAGTCTCGTGGTCAATCAGGGGGCATCAGTGTGGGATTGGACCATTCGATCCATCCAAAGGCCCATAGCCAGGAGCGGTGGCACACTCCTGTAGTCTAAGCGGCTCGGGAGCCTGAGGCTGGAGGACCGCTGGAGGTCAGCCTCAGCAATTTAGGGAGACCCTGTTTCAAAATAAAAGCGTTGCGGCTGGGGTTGTGGCTCAGTGGCTCGTGTGAGACTTGATCCTCAGCACCACATATAAACAAATAAAGACATGTCCAATTACAACTAAAAAAAAGATATATATTTTAAAATATATAAATGCATAAAAAGCTCTGGGTGTAGTACGGCGGTAAAGTGCCCCTGGGTTCAATCCCCAATGGATGCCGGGCTGGGGAAGTGGCCACAGCAGGAGCAGCATTTCCAAAAGAACGGAGTTGAGGAGCAGCTTTTGGATAGGCTGCTGAGCCAAGAGACTGCTCTTGCAGCTCTATTTATATAGCAAACAAACTTTTTATTTTTATTAGGATCTTTGGAGGGAGCGAGCTGCAGCCCCTCTACCTACCTATCAAAACAAGTATTGCCTTGAATTTCGTTATCCAGGGACTCAAATTGGGGTCGAAACGACACTAACAGTTTTGTTTTGTTTTTGGTAGCGGCGATTAAACTCAGGGGCCCTCGACTCTAAGCCACATCCCCAGCCCTATTTTGTGTTTTATTCGGAGAGGTCTCCCTGAGTTGCTTAGCACCTCGCCTTTGCTGAGGCTGACTTTCAACTCGCCATCTTCCTGTCTCAGCCTCCCAAACCATTGGATTACAGGTGTGCGCCACCTGACTGACACTAACACTCTCGAAATTCTTCCCCTAACAAAACCTTTCTACAAATACCCAGCTCTTTCCATACAGGGGGCTCATGCTTTGCTACCGGAGGCGCACACCTGCAATCCCAGCAGCAGAGGAGGCTGACAGGAGGATTGCAAATTCAAAGCCAGCCTCAGCAATTTGGAGAGATCCTGTCTCAAAATTTAATAAATAAATAAATAAATAAATAAATAAAATAAGAAAGGATGGGGATGTGGCTCAGTGGTTAAGCACACCTGGGTTCAATCCCTGGCACCAAAAAAAAAGAGAGCGATCCAGAGAGAAATGCCCATGCTTATAAAATCCACCTTAATCTAGAATTGGAGTTTCTTAGCCTGGCACTGTGAGCACACCTCCTAGAGTGAGAAAGGATAGTAGGAAGTTGGAGGCCAGGCTCGCACCTTAGCCAGGTCCTAAGCAACTTAGCTAGACCCTGTCTTAAAAAATAAAAAGGATAGAGGATTTAACTCACCCTGCATTCAATCCCCAGTGCCAAAAAAAAAAAAGTTTTTAAAAATAAAAGAATTGGTATTTCTATCTCCCTGATACAGAGGAGAAAATCAAGTTTGAGTGAATTAATATGCTTCTCAATACAGAAGTAAAGGTTACCCAACCTGGAAAAGAATAGGTTTAGACTCAAAATATTCCACCTACCTTTTTTTGATCTGAAAAAATGAATATTGGAGCCCTCCAAAGTCATGGATACTGGGTTGTCTTGGTGAGTCTGTGTGAACAATCTGGAGAATACTCTGGTAGCCAATAGGAGCGTCTCAGCTTGCCTAAATGTTCACCCCTGAGAGCATGGAATGTGAGGTGATGTGCTGACATCGAGGATTGGCTAGCTCTCATCCATATTAGATAATGTCTACTTTAAATGATTTCTAGAGGTCACTTGTGTTTATTAAGAATTTCAGCATACACAAGGATCCCTGTTGGAGTTCCTCTTGGACTTTGGACTCTGTTGACCTCTGCTGTCTTTAAACTATTTCCCTTACAGTGCTCCATAGTGGCATCTTTTCATACTATGATTACTCTTAATTGCCTTTTTTACCTTATCCATATCCTCCCTAGTCGTCATTGTAGTGTTCTTCAGTATTTGCATTTCTAGGCCCCTTCTCATCTTAACTCTTCACCTGTTTCCCTTTAGCACTTATTTAAAAAAATAAATTACTCCTAAGAGGCTCCTGAGATCTCTTTTCTGAGCTCCAGATCTATTTAACTGTGTATACTCTCAGTTGGATATCCCAACATTGTTTTGGACCCCAAACACAACAAATACAGCACACTAATTTCTGCCCCCAAATTTTTGTGCCTACTCTCACTGGCGCCATGATATTATTACCAAAACTCGGCCTTCATAACCCAATGCCAATCCAATAACAAGGACACAGTTTTGAGAAAAAGGAAAAAGAAGTTTTATTGCCAGGCACAATGGTGCACGCCTATAATCTCAATGACTAAGAAGGCTGAGGCAAGAGATTGACAGGTTCAAAGCCAGCCTCAGCAATTTAGTAAGGCTGTAAGCAATTTAGGGAGAACTTGTCTCAAAAAATTAAAAAGGGCTGGGGATATCTCTCAGTGGTAAAGTACCTGGTACCAAAAATAAATAAATAAAGTTAGTTTCATTGCTTTGCAGGCAAAGGAGAAACACAGGAGACTTCTGTCCCAGAGGTGTGATTCTCTCCATCAGAGAGATCAGGGGATTTTTAAAGAGGTGATTCAAAGGATACATTCCTGATATTCCCTGTCCAGATTTGTAATTTGAGAGGTAGTCATTTCCTAGATCTGCTGGTGCCATCTCTTAAATCTGAGTTACTTGGTTGGAGTGCTAGGTGTGTGCTTAAGGACAGATAATTTTGCCTAGGATGGGAAAGAAAAGTAATCCTGTTTCCCTTGAGATTAAGAGAGGGTAGGGATGAGGGAGGAGAAGGGGGAGAGGAAGAGAAAGAAATACATATTTTTGATAAAGACCCTTTATCAAGTTGAGAGCATTCCTTACTGAGAGTTTTTATCAAGAATGGATATTGTGCTGGGTTTGGGGGCACACACCTGTAATCCTAGCAACTCAGGAGATGGAAGCAGGAGATTGCAAGTTCAGGGACAGCCTGGCCAATTTAGCAAGACCCTGTCTCAAAATAAAAAATAAAAAAAGGACTGGGGCTGTAGCTCCATAGTAGAGTGCTTCCAGGTTCAATCCCCAGAACTGAAAAATAAAATAAAATTTTAAAATACTAGGGACTTGGAAAGTAGCTCAGAGGTAGAGCACTTGTCTAGCATGCGAGAGGCCCTGGGTTCCATCCCCAGTGCCACACAAAAGAGATTGACCTTGTCCAACTCTGTTTCTGTAGCCACAGATAACTAAATAGTTTTGTTTTTTCATTTTGTTAATGTGGTAAATAGGGTGATTGATATTTGACTATTAAACCAGGCCTACATTTTTGGGATAAACTTCAATACATCTTTTTTTAAAAAAAAATTTTTTAATTGTTGATGAACCTTTATTTTATGAGTTTATTTATTTATTTATATAGTTAGATGCAGTGCTGAGAATTGAATCCAGAGCCTTCACATGCTAGGAAAGCACTCTACTCATTGAGCCACAACCCCAGCCCTCAACACATCTTGACATACTTTCATTTTTATATGTTGGACTTAATTTGCTAAAATTCTGGTTTTGAATTTTTGCATCTACAATTGTGTAAGTCAATTTTTTGTCACTGTGACAAAATACCTGACAAGAATAACTTTGAGGGGAAAAATTTATTTTGGCTTAGGGTTTCAGAGGGTCAGTCTATGTTGGGCCTGAGATAGGGATTTAGGATAAAGAAAGAGAAATAGGGAATCTTAAAGGATCAGGGGCTGGGGCTAGGGCTCAGTTGTAGAGCACTTGCCTAGCATGTGTGAGACACTGGACTGGGTTCGATTCTCTGCACCACCTATAAATAAATTAAATAATAAAGGTCCATTGACAACCAAAAAAAGAAACACCCATAGCAGAAAGCATAGTTCTAAATCTTGAGCAAGAAGCCCTTGGCCCATGCCCTTTTAAAATGAGGAAAATACACAACGGCAAGGGAAAACTGGCGGAATTGTGCAGTTCTACCTTGGATCCACCTCTGGTCAGCCCCTGGTATAGCCCTTCTATAAATATTGGATCCTCAGTCCAAGTGAGGGGTGCTTCTCACTCTCAAGACAGCCCACACACTCCCTTGAATGTGTATCTATTATGCTCGAATTCGGGACTCACCAGAGTACTTATATCCAAGATGGATATAAGCAGTGAAAGGGTAAAGTTTCTAAGCTGCAAAGCCTGAGTTAAAATGTAAAGGACTAGGTATTGTAAAGTTTCTGAACTGCACACAGAACCTGAAATTCCTGAGGCAGTTAAGACAATGCCCGGTACTGACCATTTAGTTGTTTAATAACCTGGACCCTGTGCAGCTTGGCACGTAGGCATCTCAGGGCCCAAACCAATCAGTTTGAATGTACCCCCCTCGTTGGGACTGACCTATCACCCCCGCCCGACCTGTTCCCACCAATGAATGGACTAATCATGTTTGAGAGTTGTTGTTCAATCCATTCACCATTCATTGAACATCCCAGACAACAGTATGATGCACATTCTTCTCAAGTACACACAGAACCTTTGCCAAAATCAGCTGGATTACAAGCCATGAAATAAGGCTCAAGATATTTAAAGGGTTCAAGTTGTATAAAATATATTCTATGATCACAGCAGAAATAAATTAGAAATGAATGACATAGATATAGCTGGAAAATCTCCAAATCTTTGGAAATCAAAAGATAAATAATATTACCAGGGGTCAAGAACATCA